TGGAAGTGGGAGAGGTTTTTGCTATAGGGTGCATGCACTCGCCAAAAAAAGAAACAGAAAGCAAGAAAATCATCCCCCAGGAGGATGGCCACACTGCAATCCATTCTCCTCTCGGGATCTTGGGCACACATGCACACGTGCCCAGCATGAGTTTAAGCTACCAGGTCCAGGACTCAAATCGCAGTCAACTACTCGGGAGTCCAGCAACATAGCCATTATGCCAAGTGCTGGTCCCTTGGTTTTTTTGTTGTTGTTGTTTGTTTTTCACTATAGGGCACGTGCACTCGCCAGACAGAGAGAGAGAGAGACAGAAAGCGAAACATCACCCCCCAGAGGGGATGGCCATGCCGCAATCCCTTCTCCTTCATTCTCTCGGGATCTTGGGCATGCACGCACATGCGCCCAGTGTGGGTTTTAAGCCACCGGGTCTGGGACGCGAACCGTGGTCGATTACGTGGGAGTCCAGCAACATAGCCATTACGCTAATTGCTGGTTCCCCTTTTTTTTTTTTTTTAAATTGAGTTACATATACTTTTTATTTGTGGTCCGACTGATTATACAATTAGTGTAATACTAACTTTGCAGGAGCAAATCCAATAATTCTATGCATATTGTTTAGAAATTCTAGTAACACCTACAGAAAATAATTGATATTTTAAATTTAGAGAATTTTTTTCTTTAATCACTGATCTGTAGATTTAAAAAATAATAATAAACAGAAGCAGTAAAAATTTATTTTACCGAGATAAATTGAGCTTTTGTATTCCAACTCAAGATTGTTAATACATGCATTTGAAATAATATAAAGGTGGGTACCAAGATGGTGGCCTGTATGGATCCAGAGTTGAAGAAGGCCTTCACAGAGCTTCAGGCATAGCTGTTGATACTCAGTAGAAAGTGAAGCTTGCAGACATTCAGGTTAAACTACTAAACAGAATGAAAAAGTATGCCCATCTTACAGATACAGAGATGACGACTTTGGTAGGTAAGACTAATATGTACGAAAGTGTGGGAAGAATGTTTGTTCTTCAGTCAAAGGTAATTAATAGTCTGCTACTAGAGAAGCAGTAAATACCATAAGAAGAAATTAAAGAACTATTATAGAACAGAAAAAGTCCTACCTGGAATAGAGTGTTAAGGTTAAGCTGAGGACATCTGAGAGGTGCTGATGGCTCCAAGGGCACAGTAGGGAATCACTAGGGGAAGCCTTCCGGACCCTTCCTGTTCCTGTCAAGTATAGAAGAGCCTGTTGGGGATGCAGCTCCTGTCCACCCCAAAAGATGTTTTATCTGGATAGCCTAGTACCCCAACATTTCCTCCATCACCTTAAGCTGCTTTCAGTTCACAACACTATGTTTTATCCAGCTCTGCCTGCCACCCTGTCTGTACACTGCTCTCTCTGGGAGTGAGTCCTGAGCTCCTAAGAGAGGGCAGATGGGAGCCAGGACAGGGGGACATTCCACCTGAGCTACTAGGCACGCTGGTCTGACCAGTAAAGGTCCTTATCTCACTCTACAAAACAAAAAGAAAGAAAAGAAAAGAAAAATATGTCAGCTCTAGTAGACTTATTTTTTAATTAGTTGAAAATGAATGATCCTGTGTTATCTTTTTTTTTTTTTCCTCTTTTGGAGAGGTTTTTGCTAGAGGGCGCATGTGCTTGCCAGAAAGACAGAGAGAGAGAGAGAGACAGACAGACAGACAGAAAGCGAGAAATCCCCTCCCCGGGGGGATGGCCACGCCACAATCCCATCTCCTCCATTCTCCTCTCGGGATCTTGGGCACACATGCACACGAACCCGGCGTGAGTTTAAGTCACCGAGTCTGGGACAGGAACCGCGGTTGACTACATGGGAGTCCAGCAACACAGCCATTACGCTAACTGCTGGTCCCACTCTGTGTTATCTTTAACAGTATTTTATAGGTCAGTTTCTATTTCTGATTTGTATGTAGTAGTGCCATTTTCCCCCCATGATATTTCTAAAATGGAAGCTCCAAATGTATCAGTATATTAAGCCTTGTGTGTTTATGTTAACACTTTAAAAATGAAGATTATCAGTTTACGTCTCAATTAAAAATTTGTGGGGCCAGCAGGTGGCATAGTGGTTAAGATGCTGGGCTACCACATGGCCAATTGTGGTTTGAGTCCTGACCGAACAGCTTAAAACTCACACTGGGCTTGTATTTGTGTGTACCCAAATCCCAAGAGGAAGATGGAGAAGGGATTGTAGCATGGCCATTCCCCTAGGGTATAATTTCTTACTTTTTCTCTCTCTGTCTCTCTGGCAAGCATATGTGCCCTATAGCAAACATAGCTAAAAAAAAAAAAAAAGATTTGTACAAGAAGGTCTGGCAATGCAGGTAATACAAAAATAATGTGTGAGCCTTCTTAACAGTAAAACTTCTGGAAAAGAAACTCTAAAATCTTTGCTATTCAAATATTATGGAATTTATTAGAAAGAAAAAAATCTTTAAATAGTATATCTGGATAAGACATTACCTCTGAAAATATATTCTTGCTTTGTCACAGACTCCTATAGTCATCTTCATTTCCTTAAATCTTTTCAAATAATGAGGTTTTTTTTAAGGTTAGATATCTACAGAGCAGAGAAAGTATGTTTGAACACATTTTCAAAACATAAAGGGAAATACCAATTTGATCTTCTTTGCCAGGTACAAGAACTGTCATTAAGAATTTTTTTTCTTTTCCTGACTAAACAACTTTTAGAATGATTGTTTTATTTGTTGTTAGTTGGTAGAAGCAATTTTGAAAATCTATAACTAAATATGATTCAGGCTTTACTTCTTAGAGGGTTTTTACTGTTTACATTTTACAGTCCAGAAATAACTTTCTAGTAATTAGGACAGCTGAACAAAGGAGCCAGGCTGCTTTGTTTAGATACGGATACTCAGCCCACCATTCCTCCAAGTAAGAAAATGCAAACAAACAGCTAATGATATTGTGGAAAGGATTAGTTTCTTAGAATGGAGAAATTGGTTACTCTAATTTTATAAATAATAAATTTTGAATTAGAAATGCTATAAGACTGTAATTTTGCTGATTTTTGCTTAATGTCTCTTTTTTAAGTCAATATTTGCTTACATTTAATTGAATCTGTGAAAAATAGGAAAATGTTATATTTGTGTGCCGTATTTTATGTAAGTGTAGATGTATATACAATTTAATATCTAATGCACTAAAGAACAAAACAATTTTATGTCTCTATGAGAAAGAATGAGCTAGATCTCTTTAGCTCTCAAATAAATATAAACTATTTGTTTTGTTTGGTTTGGTTTCGTTTGTTTTGTTTTTGTTTTTTGGAGAGTGTTTTCTTTTGCTATAGGGCATATGTGCTCACCAGAAAGAGAGAGAGGAGAGTGAGAGATCGCCCCCCGGGGTGATGGCCATGCCACAGTCCCCTCTCCTCAGTTCTCCTCTTGAGGTTTTGGACATGCACACAAACGTGCCTGGTATGAATTTCAAGCTTCTGAGTCTGGGACTTGAACCACCGTTGGTCGTGTGGGATTCCAGTGCTTTCACCACCACACCACCCCCTAAACTTTTAAAGAATTATTTATTTATTATTATTATTTGTTAATTTGCTATAGGGCACGTGCGTTCACCAGAGAGAGAGAGAGACAGAGACAGACAGACAGACAGACAGACAGGCAGTGAGGAAGCAAGCTGCCAGGTCTGGGCTCAAGCCACAGTCAGAAATAAGGAGTCTACATCCTTAACCATCATGCCATCAGCTGTTCCCATATAGAAACTGTTGGTTTTATTATTTTTCTTTTGACACATTGAAATATTTCCTGCCCAATGGGAAATTTGAATGGTATATGGTAATTTAACAACAGTGGAATAATTGTGGTCATAACAGCTAAAAGATAATTTAAGGAAACTCTTCGATTTAGTGTTTCCTCAGACTTGAAAATAAATATTTTCTATATTTTTGCTATCAAGATGGCAAACTTGTTTGAGCACTTACTGTGTTCTAGGTATTGTACAATACACTTTATATTCTGTTTCTCATTTTATCCTTAACACCAATTCCAGGAGGTAGGCATTAGTAATAATGCCATTTTAAAGGTTATGAAACTGAGGCTTAGGATGGTAAAGTAACCAACTCTGAATGTTAGGGTTTATGTTTTGCAGGGTTATTCTTTCCCCCTAAATCTGTTATCTCATGCTATATCTTCCACCAGACTTTCAGTTATCTTTCACATATATCTCACTTAACGTTTGTATGGTGAAAGCCCAAAGCCTGATTATTTACAAGTACATATTCTGTAGCTACTTCTTAACTGTTGTTTGTTACAGTTAGTCACAGCATTTACTAACCTAAGATGTTTTTCCTCTTTCCAATTCCCCACATCCCACCAAAACCCACTTAATTGTTAAAATGTTAAATTATTAACAACATATTACTTTGAAAATTAGTTCAAATTTTCCATCTGCATTTATTTTTGCTTCCAGGCCTAAAAAATCCAAAGACTCTCCTCCAGTGCTGCTGGAAAAATAGCAAATGGTTTCTTTTTTATCTTTCTAGCTCAGTGTCATCTCTCTGTGCTGCCACTTACATGTAAAAATCTTATATTCCTTCTGAATAGTGTAGTTCAAATACAGTAGACCAAAATATGTATACTATCTTACTTGGTTTTATTCTAAAATCTTAGGTAATTAGTGATAGGACTGTTATTCTTACTGTCTGAAGTTTATTTTTCATTATAATGATTATACTGTATCTTTTCTTTTACTTAAGATTGTTTCTTTTGCATTGCTACATGTTATTTTGAACACCTGGCTTCACTGAACAATTTGATTTCCTTTAATCCATGTGAAGACCTTACTATTAGTTATAGTCATGTTATTTCATTAATGCATTTTTGTTTGTTTATGCATTTATACTATATAATTAAGGATAAGAACTCCTGTGCTTTAAACCTTTCCAAAACCAAATAGAGAAATTAGTGATTTTTATATTTCTTTTTGTCTGTTTTAGGATGGCTACCATAGAGTAGTTAATATTGTGCCAAAGAAACCACCACTGCTAGACAGACCTGGTGAAGGAAGCTACAATAGATATTACAGTCATGTTGATTACCGAGAATATGACGAGGGCCGCAGTTTTTCTCATGAGCGAAGAAGTGGTCCACCTCACAGAGGAGTATGTAAATTTCCCCCATGTACTAATCGTTATTTCTTATAAGTTAAAAAATCCATGTAATTTAAAAAATTTATGTGATGGCCACTAGAGCAGTTGAATGAATACTTCCTGCTTGGTGCTCTGTTGAATTGCCTGCTTTAGCTGTCAAATGGGAACTAGTAGTCAAGAATGTTGGGGTGCTGGACAAAGTGGGTAAGCACTCTGTGTAGCTCTGTCTAATGAAATTAATTCCAACTAGCCTACATTGTTATCTTCTAACTTGGCAGGGATTTGCAGAACCATGTAAAGGTAACCTATTACTTTGATCCTCAATAAGTAATGAGCAGGTGGGTGTGATTACCTTGTCTTACTAGCATACCCACTTAGAATTACTTTATTTTCATCACAATAAAATGCTGCCAGTGAAGCTGAGCCAAGGTTTTGATACTCCATTTCATTTTTGTTATAATTGTTATTAAAGTCTGTTTACTACTTCCGATTAGAAAACACATTGTAGTATGTGAATAGTTTTTAAGTATTACCTGCAATTATTACTATTATGTTTCTCTTGATCAATAATTGAGATGAGTGCATTTAATATTGCAGTAATCTGTGATTGAACTTGATTGAAACTGTTCCTTGATGTGATTCTTCTACTCACGCTTGCATGTTTACAGCATTCCTCTTTTAGAGTTTTCCTGCCTCTTCTTTTTCTCTTCTTCTATACTATATAAAGTAGTAATTAACAGTACATATTCAAACACTGTTTATAATAACATTGATCCCACATTGGCTGTCGGAATTAGTTTTAGTACTTTATACTTGAAGAAATGGAGGTAAGGTGATTTATCCAGGGTGAATGTGTATGGGAGTCCAGTTCTTTTAGTACTAAACATAGTGTCTCTTGACAGTTCTGAAATGGTAATGAGACTAGTCAGTGTTTTCTTGTGTTTGTTTCTTAAGTTCAGGATGTTACAGCTTCCTGGCTTCCTAGAGAATTTTTTTTAAGAGAGATTTTTGTTTTGGCCAACAGGTGGCATGGTGGTTGGACTGGTACTGGTACTGGTACTGGACTTCCACATGGCTGACCACATTTCAAGTATTGACCTGGTGGCTTGCTTTCTTGCTTTCCCCTCCCTCTCTGTCTTTCTGGTCAAATTAATAAAATAGTAATAGTACAAATTAACAAATAATTCTTTTTTTTAACTTTTTAATTTTTTTATATACATTCAATTACATTGTTTAGCTTACAAAGTGAACATTTTAATATGTGAACATTTCTCCCCAGTCAAGTTGATCAAAATATCTTCAACCAATAACATCCGAAAGAGAAAGGAAGGAAAGAAGGAAGGATGGAGGGAGGGAGGAAGAAGGAAGGAAGGAAGGAAGGAAGGAAGGAAGGAAAGAAAGAAGTCATCCCCCGGGGAATGGCTATGCCATAATCCCTTCTCCTTTATTCTTTTTTCGGGATCTTGGGCCCGCATCTAGATGTGCCTGGTGTGAGCTTCAAGTAGTTGAGTTGAGGACTTGAACCATGGGTGACTACATGCGAGTTCAGCAACATAACCGTCATGCCATCTGCTGGTCCCACAGAATTTTTTTTTTTTTCAACTGAGTTAGATTTTGTTCAGTTTTTAAATGATACTATTCTAGGAAGAGTTGGGTATTGAAAAGTAAACACTGTATGTCTTTATTCCAAAAATGGATTTTTGCTTTCAGAGCCATTGTCTAGGTAGTCTCAGGAAGAAATAATTTGGCCTTTATGTGGACATTTGTTATCCCTTTAAAGAAAACTTTCTGTGGACATTTTGTGCATTTGGAAATTTTGTATTTATTGGGACCAGCAGATGGTGTAATGGGTATATTGCTGGACTCCCACTTAGTGGACCACTGTTCGTGTCCCAGACACAGCATTAAACTCATGCTGGGCATTCGTGCACGGTTGCCCCAAGATCCTGAGAGGAGAATGAAGGAGAAGGGATTGCGGCGTGGCCATCTCCCTGGGGAGTGATTTATTGCTTTCTGTCTCTGTCTTTCTGGAGAGCATAGCAAAAACTTCAAGAAAAAAAATTACATTTATTAAATAGTCTGATGTGTATTTGAAACCTCATGAAACCTTTTTTCCTAAAGCCTTGTAACATAATAGTTCTACAACAGTAGTTTTTTTTCCTATTATTTTTTCTATTATTGTTATAGATTGTGTTTGTCTTGATATTTTATGTAACATTTTTTCTCTAAATTCCCTTTAAACAAACACAAGCACACTTGTGATTTTTAAAATTCTCATGACACTATTCTTATCTGGAGTTCAATTATAAAAAAGCAGTTTGCTTGCTTGATCCAATATTTTGTTGTAGCATTGAGTATTTTGTTTTATTTACATGATTTATCATTTAATGATCAAAAGGAAAATGATGAATACATTTCACTTAAATTTAGAGTAGGCTATGTGATACCAAAGAGGAAGGTAAAGATTTATTTTAGCTGAATTAATTTTTTTTTACTGTATGTAATCTGCATGTTGTATTGTTCTATGCATAACTTAATAGGACTATGGATTACTATTGGTTCTTTTTTTTTTTTTTTTTTGAGAGAGAGAGAGAGAGAGATTTTTGCTCTAGGTCTTATGCTCACTGGAGAGATAGAGAGACAGAAAGCAAGAAATCACCTCCCGGGAGGATGCCCATGCTGCAATCCTTTCTCCATTTTCCTCTTGAGATTTGGGGCACATGTGCATGTACACATACCTGGGATGAGTTTTAAGCTGCCAGGCACAGGACTTGAACCATGGTCGACTGTGTGGGAGTCCAGCGATGCAACCATTGTGCCATCTGCTGGTACCACTATTCTTTTTTTATGTGCTGTTGCAAATATGACTTAGAGGATAAAATGTGTTTCATTTGATTAACTTGTAAATTTTAATGTCACATGTTACTCTAATATAGCGTATCAGTAATTGTCAGTTCTTATTGTTTCTGATTGTAGTTTTTAATGGGAGATATGGTTAGAAAAGAAAACTTAAGCCAGAAAATTAGGAAAGTAGCAATTTCTTCATTGACCTTGAGTCTGGAAATTGAAGAGAGAACTTAATAGAAGGAAAAATTAAATAAAAGGTAGAGATCGTGTATCTTGTTTAAATGAATCATTTATTCCCAAATAGCCTGAACCATTGTGTTGTTAGTATATGTGTCTTTGGCATTAAGGCTATTTGGGTCTACTAAAGGAACAATTTAACATTTTAATAAAGGTAAAAGGTACCACTGATTCTCAGTCTATTATTTTAGATATCGATCCTTTCTATGCCTTCTAAGCTTAAGGAAATTTAGAAAAGTGTTTTTGATATCATAGTGTTTTGGACTTAGAGATTGGTTTCCAGTAGTGCTTTTATATATATTCTGCTTGCCCAAAATAATGTGAATAAATATCTAAGTAACTTTTTATGTTACAGGATGATTCTGGTTATAGATGGACAAGAGATGATCACTCTGCAAGCCGACAGCCTGAATACAGGTAAAAAGAATAAGTACTTTGAATCTTTGACTTGTTGAAATGAGATGTTTTCTGCTGAAATCTAGCCTCAAGGTACATAAATGAAATATTTTATTAGAATTTAAGATTTCAAAAGCAAGTATTCTATTCTTTTTGTGGTTATGCAGTATAATAGCACTGATACCTTAGTGCTGTACATCTGTTGGAATATTATAATTGATAATTTTTAATATTTACCAATATTTGAACTATTTTTTTATTTTTTATTTTTGGAGAAATTTTTGTTAAAGAGCGCGTACGCTCACCAGAAAGAGAGAGACAGAGAAACAGAAAGTGAGAAATCACCCCCCATGGGGGATGGCCACACTGCAATCCCTTCTCCTCCATTCTCCTCTTGGGATCTTGGACATGCATCCACACATGCCCAGCATGAGTTTAACCCACCAGGTCACTAAAACTGTGTTCGGCTACATGGGAGTCCAGCGACATAGCCATTATGCCAACTGCTGGTCCTGGTATTAATGTATTCTTATAGCTAATTATTACTGTTATTATTTTTTTGAAAGGTTTTTCTATAAGGCGTTGTGCTCACCAGAAAGACAGAGAGAAATAGAGACAGAGAGCATGAAATCACCCCCCCCCTCCCAGGGACGATGGCCATGCCGCAATTCCTTCTCCTCCATTCTCCTCTCGGGAGAATGGAAAGTGAGTTTAAGCCACTGAGTCTGGAACTCGAACCGTAATCGGCTACATGGGAGTCCAGTCACATAGACATTACGCCAGCTCTTGGTCCCACAAGCTAATTATTAAGCCTTTCTTACTATGTGTTAATACTTGCTTAATTAGAAACTAAGGCATTTTTTCAGAAGATCCTTTTGAAAATATTTAAGTACTTAAGAGTACCCCTGCAAGTATTATAAGATGTTCACTCAGTTGCTTTATTTATTTATTTATTTTTTTGGAGAGGTTTTTGCTACAGGGTGCGTGTGCTCGCCAGACAGACAGAGACATAGAGACAGAAAGCGAGAAGTCACCCCCGGGGGGATGGCCACGCCGCAGTCCATTCTCCTCCATTCTCCTCTTGGGATCTTGAGCACGCACGCACACGCACCCGGCGTGAGTTTTAAGCCACTGGGTCTGGGACGTGAACCGCGGTCGACTATGTGGGAGTCCAGCGACATAGCTATTACACTAACTGCTGGTTCCCCTTGGTTGCTTTATTTTTATAAATAAAGTTGTGCTGGGAAAACCTATTTTGGAAGACCCTTAATAGTTATTATTAAGTTTTTATCTTTTTTTTTTTTTTTGGAGAGGTTTTTGCTATAGGACGCGTGCGCTTGCCAGAAGGACAGAGAGAGACAGAGAGATAGAAAGCAAGAAATCACGCCCATGGGGGATGGCCACACCGCAATCCCTTCTTCTCCATTCTCCTCTCAGGATCTTGGGCGCACACGCACCTGGCGTGAGTTTAAGCCACCAGGTCCAGGACACAAACCGCGGTCGACTACATGGGAGTCCAGTGACATAGCCATTACGCTAACTGCTGGTCCCTAGTATTAGGTTTTGATTAAAGAGTGCATCTGATAAAATATTGGGTTATCAGGAGAGTCTTGACACATTTTTGTATAGAAAAATGTGTCATGACTTTCCTGATGACCTAATAATTATGAGGGAGAGTGATGGACAAGTTTAACCAGATTGGTAGTTTGTTTTTTAAATGACTTCACAGTGTAGTGTTGGAATTTGTAAAAGGAGACTTTCAAAGGTATCTTCTGGGGGCCAGCAGGTGACTTGGTGGTTGAGGCATTGGACTCCCAGATGGCCAACTATGGTTTGAGTCCTGGACCTAGTGGTTTGTTTTCTTTCTCTGTCTCTTTCTTCATCTCTCTCTGGTGAGCTCATATGCCCTGTATCAAATAAAAAGCAATAATAAATAAATTATTTCTTTTTTAAGAGATTTTTGCCGTGCAGTTCGTGCCCTTGCCAGAGAAAGAGAGAGACAATGAGAGGGAAAATGAGAAATCAACCCCTCCACCCCCAGAGAAGATGACCACACCACAATCCCTTCTCCTTCATTCTCCTCCTGGGATCTTGGGCAGATGTGCACACATACTTGATGTGAGTTTTAAGCCACTGGGTCCAGAACACAAACCACGATTTGCCGTGTGGGAGTCCAGCAGTGTTACCACTACACCATCTGCTGTCCCCAAAATAAGTAATGCTTTACCAAATAATCAAAAAAAAAAAAAGAAGTATATTATGAACTGTCAGTAAAAAGAACCCATCTCAGCTCAGAGAATGGATGGCAAGGAATCAACTGCTGGAACTCAGAGGTGCTGAAAGTAAGGAACAAGATTCACTGCATCAGAACCACACAGTTTATTCTCAGCACTGTGGTTAACAGGAGTATCCGCCTAGCCCTGCCTGGCCCTGGTAATGCCTGCCACCAGAAACCATATGCTGATGGGACAGGCAGAGGTGGCTGTGCACACAGTGGGATGGGTGCCCTGAGGCTCAGGAGCCCTGACTCAGGAGTTCTGCATAGTTTGTGGCAAGTAGGAATCAAAGCCAGTCCTCCTTTCTCTGGGAGGCAGCAGCCACATAGCCATGCTGTGGTCACCTTCACTTATTGTCTCTGAAGCCAGCTCCAGTTCAGCATCACTGGATAGTTAAGTCTTGCAGTTTGGCAGTGTTGCACTGATAACCACATGAATTCTGGAAGGCACCCATGATGTCAGTCAGATGTGTGGTAACGGTATACACAGTGTCATTGTGTTAGTTTCTTTTGGGAATACTGGGGTCTTCAAAAAGTTCATGGAAATACATATGTGAAGAAGCTGTGCGTGGATTTCAAAACATTGTTATGCCAAAATAAACTCTTAGTTGGGCCAGCCTTGTAGCTTAGTGGTTAAGGGAGCTGGATTGCCCATGACTGGCTACACGACACTTGAAAAATATTCCAGGGGTATATATGTGTGTTCCCTAAATTCCAATAGGATGGAGAAATGGAGGACAAGGGATTGCAGCATGACCATGCCCCTGGGGGGTGCCTTCTCCTCTCTCTATTGCTATATCTGTTTCTGGTGAGCTTGTATACCCTGTGACCATTTAAACCTTTTTTTAAAAAACTCATGCTTTATATGTTTACATGAACTTCTAGAAAAACCCTTGCATGAGGAAGTTACTGGAGATTGGTTATCTGGGTAATGTGGGGGTACAGCAAAAGGTATGAACCTAAATAAGGAGTTTGCTGTACTTCGTCCCCCCTTTCCTCAGGGCATAGAGGATTTAGAAAATACTCCTATGCCCCATGTCTCTCAGGATATTGAAGTGGGGTCATCTGTCGGGATCTAAGTACTGGAGAGTTCATTGCCAGCCTTCATTGAAAAGAAGTTAGAGGGACTGGCTCGTGAAGAGGCTAAGGATGTGGAAGTTTTACAAGTTTGACTGAGATGACTATATTGCATTACTTAAGTGTATGCACAGTTTATAATGGCCTTGTAGTATTTGTAAGTAAGCGTTTAACATATTTGTGAATCTGTGGTGATGATATTCCTCTTAATGGAGCTAATGTGTTTAGCCTATAGCAGCCCAGCGGGAACGTGTGTGCCGGGGGGAGCAGCCCTACTGTGGGTTGGCTACTGATAATCTTTGCTGTTCGGGAATGTAAGTCAAGTATGGCCTGCTTTAAAAGAAGTTGGAAATTCGGATTTTTTCTTTTTTAAAAATTATTTATTATCATCAGTTTCAATTTTGACCAGAGAGAGAGAAAAGACAGAGAGCAAGCCACCCAGGTCCAGGACTAAAACCACAGTCAGCCATGTGGGAGTCCAGTGCCCTTAATCACCACACTTGAAATGCCAGTCCCCCCGAAATCCAGATTTTGAACATATAAAATATCTTTTTTTTTTTTTTTGGAGAGGTTTTTGCTATAGGGCGCGTGCGCTCACCAGACAGAGAGAGACATAGAGACAGCGAGAAATCACCCCCCAGAGGGGATGGCCACGCCGCAATCCCTTCTCCTTTCTCTTCTCGGGATCTTGGACACGCACACACATGCGCCCAGCGTGAGTTTTAAGCCACTGGGTCTGGGACGCGAACCGCGGTCGACTACGTGGGAGTCCAGTGACATAGCCATTACGCTAACTGCTGGCTCCCTGAACATATAAAATATCTTGATATTCCAGCGTTCACAGCTAATTAAAAACAGAGTTTGGAAACTCTGGAGTAATAATCTGAGACTCTGAAGTGAAGAGCTGATAATAAAAAAAAAGTTTTTCGTACAGGGTGGTTTTCTACCCTCGCTTACTCCGAGTTATGTGGAAGGTGTGTGGTGCACTTTTTAAAAAAAAAAAATGCTGATGCCTGAGCCTCAGGTGTAGATCTGATTCCATTGTTCTTGGGTGGAATATCCACATCAGTTTTTTTGTTTGTTTGCTTTTGTTATAGGGTGTATATGCTCATCAGGGCAAGACAAAGAGGGAAAATGAGAAATCAGGGGTGGGGGGTGGGTGGGAACCATGCTGCAATCCCTTCTCCTCTAAGGATTTTGAGCATGCTCTTATACATACCCCGTGTGATTCTTTATCCGTTGGGGTCCAGGACTTGAACATCAAAGTTGGCCATGTGGGATCTAACACACCTTCACCTCTATGCCACATGCTGGTCCAGCATCAGTAAAGCCCATTGAGTGATGCTAAAGAGAAGCTATATTGGAGAACCACCAGTGTAATACATTTTATGGAGGGACAATGTTCAGAAACCATAGGATCATGTTAGCAGTGGATTTCTTGGCCACTTTCTCTTGTTTAGGTACCTTTATCTACCTATATCCATGACAGCAATTATTCCCTTGCTTATGGTTCTAAAACACATCTCTTAGGAACCAGCAGGTGGTGCGGTGGTTAAAGCACTGGACACTCCCACATGGCCGACTATGGTTTGAGTCCTGGACCTGGTGGCTTGCTTTTTCACTTTCCCTCTCTCTCGGTGTCTCTCTCTCCAGTCAAATTAAAATTAAT